TCATCATCATCATCATTTCCATATATTTTGTTCAATTTTAAGTGATGTTTTTTGCTTTAGTACAATTTAGCTGTAGGCTTTTAACGCTAATAGTCGTTGATAAGTATGAATATCATTACCTATTTTGTAATGCGACAGAAAATTGCAACGTTAGTGTCATTAGCGGAACAAACGAGGCAAACTAAATTCTGGGCGTATATGTTTATCTGACTTGTTTTGGTTTTCGGAACGATATGAAGCGGAACGTTTAGTGCCGTCATTGGTTGGGGGAACAAAAACTCTGTTCCTTTTATAAAGGAACAAACTAAAGCGGAACAGCTCATTCCTTTTTACACTTTAGGAACTATTCGTTCCGTTGCACGAGAAAGGAACGAAAACGCGTTCCTATTTTCGGAACTAAAGTTTTAAGTTGCAATATAACGCGAGATAGGAACAAGAATATACGTTCCTATTTTCGGAACTAAACCCAAAAGTTTCGCCCAATAATTAGCATGCAACCTTTCCTCAGCAAAGTCAGTTTTCGATTATTTGATCGGTATTGTATGAAGATATTTCAATCGAAGTCGATACTAACTATTATAACATAGTGAAGAGCAGTAATATATTGTGTTGTTCTCCATGAAGTATATTATATATTGACGAGAATTGCACTGTTGTATATGAAAGAGATTATACCTTAAATGGATTTGCGGTTTGTGAAAACTTTATGCTTCAACATGATTTATATATAAATTAAACTGATCAACTATTTTCAAAGCAAACATATTATACGTATTATAGTCGCAGGAATAGAAAATAAGGCAACCGAGAATGCATTTAGTTTTGCGTGGAATCGTTTAAGAAAGAAAGAAATAAGGAATAGAACTTCACAAATTTTATTCAACTATTCACAAAGCAAATTTATATTTACAAGGTACATGAGTGAAATACACTAGATAAGTTTTTGTTGAATTGCACGAAGTCTAAGTGTCCTAGCTTCTCTACCAGGTTGAAAGTTATATTCTGGATGTCGTAAGATTGTGCACCATCGTGCACCAAATCTTTTAATTCCCCTTTCTATAAATTGATCCTCTTCTTTCGTGAATCTCAGGGGTTTGCGTTTCTCGGCAGAAACCTTTTCTGTCGTTGTTTGTGGTATGGGAGTGGTTTCGTTATCACTTTTTGATTCGTGTTCGGAACAATGTTCTTGTTTTAACTGTTCAACGCAAGTGTCCATTTCTGCTCCGTGTAAGCCACGCAATTTTTCCATACATGTTCGCCCTTTGATAGCTACATCTCGAGAACGCAATTTCTGATAATGGACTCGGGCGACATTCGAACTGTGTTTTTGATCTTCAGAAACCAACTTCTGCTCCTCTACATTGAGGATTTGCACACTTTCAGTTTCAATGATTTGCCTGTATCTTGTGGGATGAACGTATTTTCCGATTGCCTGAAAGACTAATATACTTAAGATTTCTGTTAATTTTTGAAATTGAATGCCATTACGATTGACGAGCAAATAGTCGCACCTTGGTTGCAGAAATGGCCTAACATAGCGAACGTAATTGTCAACAACATCCAAACTAATTTCGTCAAAATATAAGGAATCAAAGCCATACTTTTTGGCAGTTTTGAATGTGGTTTGATCGACCATTCCTTTATTTCGTTTTGCACTCTCAAACATGCTAACCGTCAAATGCAGATACGTCATAGGCCTACAGCCTTTAACTTTAAAAAACATAAATACTGCTAGGAATCGGGTAGCGAATGTAAGATTCGTTGCGCTAACAACAGGTGATTTGTTTTTGCATTCGTCCAATATAATCTTATAACGTGGTATATGGAAGGGTATCACAGTTTGGAGTTCGGCTAAGCTTGCCCAACTCCGTCTTGATTCAAGTGTTTCTATGTCAAGATCTGTCGTCCAGTGCGACCTCATTACTTTTGACAAACATTTCTTTGCTCTCTTGATGTAAACTTCAGTAACAGAGAAATTTTGCAGTACGGCGCCCGAGGGAGAGTTAAACTTTCGAAAATCTAACAGCTCAGATATGCTTGTTATGTAACCTAATTGGCCGGAATTTCCCATTTTCCAAGTACCCTGAAGATAATCAAGGAAACCCGTTAACAACTTCGAAGAACCAAGAAAATAATCTATAATTTCTAAAGACGAAGTCGCATTCAATTCGTCCTCGCCCGTTTCAGAACAACAAAATGTTATAAACTTGAGAGCCCTTGTTACTGAAATTTGTGATTGCTTTTCAGACTTGCCGCCCCCAGCCGTACTTTGTAACCACACCGAAAGGGAACGACATAAATCATTTTCCGTAGAACAACAAGGAATTGTATGTCTGGCTTTTGATGTGATTACATTGCCTTTTTCTTCAACAGTATTTGAAATAACAATAGGTTTTTGATCGAAATATTTATACCAAGCGTGCTTTTCGTAAACATGCTTCCTGCAACCGCGACAACTGCTAAATCCAGGGTGTTCGCATCCATTTACAGGACAACGATATAAGTGATTCTTGTCTTGTTGCAAATGCAGTCTTCTTGGTTTGTCAAAAGCTCCATCAACCGATTTCCAATCCACCTTTCCAGCATGTTGACGTGGCATTTAAAAATGAACAACACCGACTAAGTGGCTGCTTATAAAGCACAATCAGACGTTGTACTTTGCATAAACGCATTCATGCATAACGCTTATTGTTGCACCGTACAATACATTTTCAAGGTAAATGTATCAAAGACATAAACCTATGCCATTACTTAACAGCTTTCGGGCTCTACAATTGTCCAAGCCCACATATGCACTTTTAAATATTGAAAACTTATATTAGAATCCCTTGAAGCGCAATTGGGATTAGTAAGACCAATGGACCATTTGCATTATAGACTAAATTTTGATCTAGACAAAAATTTCATCACAGCTTGAAAGAGCATCACAAAATTAGTAATATTCCAAAGTTTCGTTGCGAAATGTTGTAAAATGCGGATAATATAGCCTTGCGAAGTTTGCAATTTTCAGTCATTTTGTATTACGCACGGAAAATTGACAGCCCAATCGGGTGTTGGGGCATCAGTTTCCCGTACGTTTGTAATACAAAATGACTGAAAAGTGCAAACTTCGCAAGGCTATATTGTCCGCATTTTACAACATTTCGCAACGAAACTTTGGAATATTACTAATTTTGTGATGCTCTTTCAAGCTGTGATGAAATTTTTGTCTAGATCAAAAGTTAGTCTATAATGCAAATGGTCCATTGTATTAGTATGTGGCGTTAAAAGCTACATAAATCATGAACAGTTTCAATAAACTAACTTTAGATTTATGATTGTGCTCTTGTAAAAAATTGGGCATGTAGAGTGAAAAAAGTTTTTCCAACATTTCAACGTGTACCTGCTGTAGCCCGGCATCGAAATTTTTCTAAGTGTCGAGTGAAATTAGTTTTCCTAAGATTTAACGGGCTACGGGCTACTAATATAAATCCTAACAAAAACGACGGGCTACCCACGGGCTACCACTCAAAATCACGGGCTACCAATGCAAGTAGCCCGTGGTGGAAATTTTTTCTAAGTGTAGTAGAAACTATAATAAAATGAGATAAATTGTCGAAAATATTCTAAGTCTTTCGTAAGTGACCATTTGAAAAAGACTTAGAAAAATTTCAACCACGGGCTACCAAGCGTTGGTAGCCCGTGGTTGAAATTTTTCTAAGTGTCGAGTGAAATTAGTTTTCCTAACATTTAACGGGCTACGGGCTACTAATATAAATCCTAACAAAAACGACGGGCTACCCACGGGCTACCACTCAAAATCACGGGCTACCAATGCAAGTAGCCCGTGATTGAAATATTTTCTAAGTGTAGTAGAAACTATAATAAAATGAGATAAATTGTCGAAAATATTCTAAGTCTTTCGTAAGTGACCATTTGAAAAAGACTTAGAAAAATTTCAACCACGGGCTACCAAGCGTTGGTAGCCCGTGGTTGAAATTTTTCTAAGTGTCGAGTGAAATTAGTTTTCCTAAGATTTAACGGGCTACGGGCTACTAATATAAATCCTAACAAAAACGACGGGCTACCCACGGGCTACCACTCAAAATTACGGGCTACCAATGCAAGTAGCCCGTGGTTGAAATTTTTTCTAAGTGTAGTAGAAACTATAATAAAATGAGATTAATTGTCGAAAATATTCTAAGTCTTTCGTAAGTGACCATTTGAAAAAGACTTAGAAAAATTTCAACCACAGGCTACCAACGCTTGGTAGCCCGTGGTTGAAATTTTTCTAAGTCTTTTTCAAATGGTCACTTACGAAAGACTTAGAATATTTTCGACAATTTATCTCATTTTATTATAGTTTCTACTACACTTAGAAAAAATTTCCACCACGGGCTACTTGCATTGGTAGCCCGTGATTTTGAGTTGTAGCCCGTGGGTAGCCCGTCGTTTTTGTTAGGATTTATATTAGTAGCCCGTAGCCCGTTAAATGTTAGGAAAACTAATTTCACTCGACACTTAGAAAAATTTCAACCACGGGCTACCAACGCTTGGTAGCCCGTGGTTGAAATTTTTCTAAGTCTTTTTCAAATGGTCACTTACGAAAGACTTAGAATATTTTCGACAATTTATCTCATTTTATTATAGTTTATACTACACTTAGAAAAAAATTCAACCACGGGCTACTTGCATTGGTAGCCCGTGATTTTGAGTGGTAGCCCGTGGGTAGCCCGTCGTTTTTGTTAGGATTTATATTAGTAGCCCGTAGCCCGTTAAATGTTAGGAAAACTAATTTCACTCGACACTTAGAAAAATTTCAACCACGGGCTACCAACGCTTGGTAGCCCGTGGTTGAAATTTTTCTAAGTCTTTTTCAAATGGTCACTTACGAAAGACTTAGAATATTTTCGACAATTTATCTCATTTTATTATAGTTTCTACTACACTTAGAAAATATTTCAATCACGGGCTACTTGCATTGGTAGCCCGTGATTTTGAGTGGTAGCCCGTGGGTAGCCCGTCGTTTTTGTTAGGATTTATATTAGTAGCCCGTAGCCCGTTAAATGTTAGGAAAACTAATTTCACTCGACACTTAGAAAAATTTCAACCACGGGCTACCAAGCGTTGGTAGCCCGTGGTTGAAATTTTTCTAAGTCTTTTTCAAATGGTCGCTTACGAAAGACTTAGAATATTTTCAAAAACAATTCGTCACATTTTATTATAGTTTAAACTACACTTAGAAAATATTTTAATCACGGGCTACTTCCAGTGGTAGCCCGTGATTTTGACAAGTAGCCGGTCGTTTTTCTTGCAATTTATATTAGTACGCCGTAGGACAGGTAAGTTTTTGAAACACTAATTTCGGTTGATTGACCTAAGTTCGTTTGAAGATAAGCTTTTTTCTAACATTTACATAATGAGTTTTATAATTTGGTGGAAAATTTATTGTTGGTGTTATTTGAATTGTTTATTTTTCCAATATTCACACAGCTTGTTATTACTTGATATTGTAATGGTTCACTCAGCATAATGTTGTAAGGCCTACAAGGATTTTCACTTAGATTGTTAGTAACGCATTTATAAATTACACTATTTAATTTATTTTTGCACAACAAGCGATTGAGGAATGATAAAATTGTGAGCTTTATAAAATGTAACGACTTAATGTCTTTCGATCTAACCGTAAGTGTTCCCATTTACTTGCCAATCCAGCTTTTAAATGTGGTCCAGAATGTTTGGGATGAAAGCTGTGGCCCCTCCCTTTGCTCATCGTTATTTGTGTTGGCGTTTAAGGCCCTATTTACTGGACAGCGACTTTCTAGAACGAGAACATTCAAATCCTTCCTCAGCTGTTGAAGTGCTGGGAGAATATCTGGGTGCCTTTTAACGAAATTGTCTATGTTGAAGACCTCTCTTACTCTTCCCGTTGCCAACATCCACGCATCGATTTCGGGGTCTGCCTTTTCCCAGAATTGGCGGTCGGCATGGGTTCGTTTCGACTTCGCCCTATCCCTTCGTTCTATGAAAGAATGGAGATGACCTTTTTTTAGATCTTTGTAGAGGGAGCATTCTATGTAATTTGCAACTTTGTCCACGTATTCCTCGTTGTTGAGAACCCAACCTGCTGGCGGAGTAAATGAGGAGTATTTGTTTTTCAAGGTATTATAATCACTATTTGTTGCACTGTTTGCCTTTTCCTTGTTCTTCGCACTGACCGGTGGCGGCGCTTCACTGCCACGCATTTGTTCGCTTCCATCTTGCTCGCCCTTTGCGCTTGTTCCTCTCTTACTGAGCGATGGTGACCGTTCTATCTCCATGTCGGAGTTTTCAGATTCGTTCGTATTTTCCACGTTTTTGTCTTCGATTCTTCCGCAAATCTTTTCTTCGTCGTCTGTTGAAGTGTCGTAAACAATCCGTCTCCTATCTCTTCTTTTCCTGGCAAGCCGTCTGGAACGTAACTCTGCCGTAAATCCGGGATGAATGGTACGCTCGTCAACTTTTGTGGTTTCCTTATGACACAGGGGTTGCATGTCAGCTTTCGTAATTTGATCAATTTCGTGTCGTTTCCATAAGGATTCACCATCCACGGAAGCCACGGGGGCGTTCTCGCAATTCTCGTACCAAAGTTCTTCATGGCAGATAAGATCTCGATGCTGGTGGATTTCTTCCGCAGTCCAGGCAATGCAGTCCATTGCGTGATCGAAAATCCAACTATCGATGCCAGGAATAGTGTTTGGTAAAGACGTCGTTTGGAATATGCGAATTCGACGTTTAACATTTTCGTCCTCTTTGCGAAAATCAGGAACGTTGTTAGTTGTGATATAAAATGGGCTATTGTTGTTCACGCATCGTGGAGGGCCATGTTTCACGGAAGTGACCATCCAGCCACCTTGAAGGACGGTCTTTGCCAGATCCGACTGCATTCTGTTGCTCGACCACTCATCAATTATCACCAGCTGGGTTGTCTCCGTAATCATAGCCGCCGAAAACTGACCTTCATTTGTTACTGACGCGATACATTCGGGTGGAATAATTCGATGGAATACGTTGCACCACGACGTTTTACCAGAATCACGTGGACCAGCTACTACAAGTTTTCTTGTCTTCTGGGGCATTCTAGAGGCAAAGAGACACTGGTAAAATTTGTTGAGGAAATTTACACGTTCCTCTTCACCAGGGAATGAATTTAGGATGCCTTCTTGAAAATATCTAGGTTGGGGTGGTGTTGAGCAATCATAAGGAACGAAGGCCCGTGGTGATAACTTGCCAATCTTTGACGACGGAATGGCGTTCGCCATGAACGCGCGTTTGTTGATGGAGAAACAAAAACCGTTAGACACTTCGATTAGGTCTAAGTCGAATTTAATTTGCTGGATCATTTCGCAGGCTGGATGTGATAGTATTCTCTCAACCGCTTGGAAATGTCGAACAAGGTCGTTGTTTAGGGCGTCGTTTGCAAGAAGCTTATTCAAATAACTTGACACATCCATCATTCTGACATAAGTCATCTTCGCATTGGCGGGGGTGGTATAAATTGCGGATCGGTGAAGAACGTGGCCGCAGATTACCATAACGCGAGCAATCTTTCTGATAGTTCGTGTAATTTCATTTGGCTGTGACAATGATTGTATCGTGTCTACTTGTGGCGATAATGACGTTTCTAACACAAGTCCATCCGATTGCAGCCTTTCGATTGCTGACTGTATGGCGTCAAGATAACCATCGTGATTGACGATCGTGACACAACAGGGAGCGCTCGGGAAGTGTGTCGGATGGAATTCTTCATCGTATTCCTCTTCGTCGTTCTCCTCGTCTGTCGATGAGTCGTGGGCATTGCGGTAACAGTATACATTCGATATGTCAAGCATGTCCTGGATACTGCGGTTGTTATGGTCCTTCACAGTTTGAAAGAGCTGTCTTGCCGCATTTTCCAATTCATTATTGGCAGCGTTTCGAACTTTCATACCTTGAATGACCGGCTCTAAATCTTGGTTATGCAGAGCGGTAAAAAAGGTGTTGTCGTTGCAATTGTCGTTGGGTGTGTAGACAATGAAATATGCAATCGAGGGATAGGTTTCATCGGCTTCCATGTCCGTGGGTTCTTCCTCAACTTTTGATTTCGAGTTTGAACAAACGCTTGTGATGCTGGAGAAAAAGAAATGCACTCCTTCTATTGCATTAATGGCATCGTCCAACAGCAGTCTTTTGGAAGCTATTTGAAATCTTGCAAGCTCTATGTCTTCGTTGCACACACGCCAAATAGCACGGCATGCTATTGCTTTCTGTTCGTCTCTTATCTAATAAACGTTAACGACGCGACGTTTAATTGCACTGACGTGAGTAGGGAAAATTGTAAATGAAAATCAAACTTACCAGACTTAAAATGTTCGCTCTTAAAGAGTTCTGTATTCGTTTGGAGTCCAGCTGTTTACGCGGTTTTGGAGGCATTTTTAACCAAACCTATTCCTACTGTTTGTGTCTAGAATTGCGAAGGCGTTGCCGGCTGGCAATTCGTTTTCGCTTGTTTGTGGCGCAAATTTGCATATATATAGCAAATGAGAACAATATATTTTACTTTGGTCATCACCATCTTCACCATCATCACCATCATCACCATCATCATCACCACCATCATCATCACCACCATCATCATCACCACCACCATCATCATCATCATCACCATCACCACCATCATCACCATCACCATCATCACCATCACCACCATCATCACCATCACCACCATCACCATCACCACCATCATCACCATCACCACCATCATCACCATCACCACCATCATCACCATCACCACCATCATCACCATCATCATCATCATCACCATCACCATCATCACCACCATCATCACCATCATCATCACCACCATCATCATCATCATCACCATCATCATCATCATCATCATCATCACCAACATCACCATCGCCATCACCATATCATCATCACCATCATCATCACCAACATCATCATCACCATCACCATCATCACCATCATCACCATCACCATCACCATCATCACCATCACCATCATCATCATCATCATCACCATCATCATCATCACCATCATCATCAACATAACCACTATCATCAACACAATCACACAATCACCACCATCAATCATCATCATCACCACCATCATCATCATTACCCAACATCACCATCACCACCATCATCATCACCCTCATCATCAACACCATCACCCTCATCCTCATCACCACCAAAGTTAATTATTTTGTTCCTATGCATGAATTGTAAATACGGGCATAATCTACGATATAAAGCGCGCCGTGAAAACCGGCTACCAATATAATTTCCAATACCTCTTATAGGTAGCCGAGCGTTGAATTTTTTCTAAGTGTTGTTTAAGCTATAGTCAGAATTAGAAAGATTGTCGGAAAATATTCTAAGTCTTTTGTAAGTGAACCTTTGAAAAAGACTTGGAAAAATTTCAACCACCGGCTACCGAGCGTTATTGGTAGCCGGGCGTTGATTTTTTCTAAGTGTCGAGCAAATTTAGTTTCCCTCAAATCTGACCGGCTACCGGCTACCAATATAATTTCCAATTAAAAGCACCGGCTACCGACCGGCTACCAGTCAAAATAACCGGCTACCTCTTATAGGTAGCCGGGCGTTGATTTTTTTCTAAGTGTAGTTTAAACTATAGTGAGAATTAGAAAATTTTTTAGAAAATAATCTAAGTCTTTTGTAAGTGAACCTTTGAAAAAGACTTGGAAAAATTTCAACCACCGGCTACCGAGCGTTGGTAGCCGGGCGTTGATTTTTTTTCTAAGTGTCGAGCGAATTTAGTTTCCTTCAAATCTGACCGGCTACCGGCTACCAATATAATTTCCAATTAAAAGCACCGGCTACCGACCGGCTACCAGTCAAAATGACCGGCTACCTCTTATAGGTAGCCGGGCGTTGATTTTTTTCTAAGTGTAGTTTAAACTATAGTGAGAATTAGAAAATTTTTTAGAAAATATTCTAAGTCTTTTGTAAGTGAACCTTTGAAAAAGACTTGGAAAAATTTCAACCACCGGCTACCGAGCGTTGGTAGCCGGGCGTTGATTTTTTTCTAAGTGTCGAGCGAATTTAGTTTCCTTCAAATCTGACCGGCTACCGGCTACCAATATAATTTCCAATTAAAAGCACCGGCTACCGACCGGCTACCAGTCAAAATGACCGGCTACCTCTTATAGGTAGCCGGGCGTTGATTTTTTTCTAAGTGTCGTTTAAACTATAGTGAGAATTAGAAAGTTTGTTGGAAAATATTCTAAGTCTTTTGTAAGTGAATCTTTGGAAAAATTTCAACCACCGGCTACCTGATTTTTTCCAAAGTGTCGTTTAAACTATAGTGAAAATTTGAAAATTTTGTAAGTGAGCGTTTGAGAAAAGACTTGGAAAACGTTCACTTACAAAAGGCTTTCCAACAAATTTTCTAATTCTCAGTATAGTTTAAAGGACACTTAGAAAAAAATCAACGCCCGGCTACCTATATAAGAGGTAGCCCGTCATTTTGACTGGTAGCCGGTCGGTAGCCGGTGCTTTTAATTGGAAATTATATTGGTAGCCGGTAGCCGGTCAGATTTGATGAAAACTAAATTCGCTCGACACTTAGAAAAAATCAACGCCCGGCTACCAACGCTCGGTAGCCGGTGGTTGAAATTTTTCCAAGTCTTTTTCAAAGGTTCGCTTACAAAAGACTTAGAATATTTTCCAACAAACTTTCTAATTCTCACTATAGTTTAAACGACACTTAGAAAAAAAATCAACGCCCGGCTACCTATAAGAGGTAGCCGGTCATTTTGACTGGTAGCCGGTCGGTAGCCGGTGCTTTTAATTGGAAATTATATTGGTAGCCGGTAGCCGGTCAGATTTGAGGGAAACTAAATTCGCTCGACACTTAGAAAAAATCAACGCCCGGCTACCAACGCTCGGTAGCCGGTGGTTGAAATTTTTCCAAGTCTTTTTCAAAGGTTCGCTTACAAAAGACTTAGAATATTTTCCAACAAATTTTCTAATTCTCACTATAGTTTAAAGGACACTTAGAAAAAAAATCAACGCCCGGCTACCTATAAGAGGTAGCCGGTCATTTTGACTGGTAGCCGGTCGGTAGCCGGTGCTTTTAATTGGAAATTATATTGGTAGCCGGTAGCCGGTCAGATTTGAGGGAAACTAAATTCGCTCGACACTTAGAAAAAAATCAACGCCCGGCTACCAACGCTCGGTAGCCGGTGGTTCAAATTTTTCCAAGTCTTTTTCAAAGGTTCACTTACAAAAGACTTAGAATATTTTCCAACAAATTTTCTAATTCTCACTATAGTTTAAACTACACTTAGAAAAAAATCAACGCCCGGCTACCTATAAGAGGTAGCCGGTCATTTTGACTGGTAGCCGGTCGGTAGCCGGTGCTTTTAATTGGAAATTATATTGGTAGCCGGTAGCCGGTTAGATTTGAGGGAAACTAAATTCGCTCGACACTTAGAAAAAAATCAATGCCCGGCTACCAACGCTCGGTAGCCGGTGGTTGAAATTTTTCCAAGTCTTTTCAAAGCTTCACTTACAAAACACTTATTTTCCAACAAATTTTCTAATTCTCACTATAGTTTAAACGACACTTAATGATAAAAGAAAAAATCAACGCCCGGCTACCAACGTTCCATGGAATGTTTTCCTTAATTTCTTTTTAAAAGCACGAAAGACTAATGGTTTGAAGCAAATTTGATGTACAGTCTAACTATTGACAACCAGTGATAAAATGACTGTTTGTTATCAGGGAAATAAATATGTCAAAAATCAATGAAAAATTGAAACACAGAGTCACGCTATTGTCATATTATTACTTAGCATACAGATTTCATACAAATATAAAATTTCGCTATACGTTTAAATATACAAGCTCATAATGGTTACATTCACACTAATTTTAAGACTTCAGCCCTCTTTCTTAAAGTATTTGGAACACGACATCCATTGAAATTAAATTCTGGATGACGCAATATCATGGACCAACGTAGACCAAATTGTTCAACGCCTAATCTAATGTAATTGTCCTCCTCGTGTGTAAAGCGAATACCTGAACGCCGTTTCGTTAATTCATAACTCGAAGTGGTTGGAGTGTCTTTGCAAAGATCTTCTTGTCCAGGTGATGACTGCTCTACCGACTCGGATTCAGTCTCCAAATTCTTACTTTTGTCAACTAATTTTTGCATGCACAAACGTCCTCTTATTGCTACTTCTCGAGAACGTTTCTTTTGGTAATGTACCCGGGCAACGTTAGAGCTGTGCTTCTGGTCTTCAGATATCCATTTTTGTTCGTTTGGTAGCAGAACCTGGGAACTTTCCGTCTCGATGATTTGTCTGTACCTAGTCGGATGAATGTACTTTCCGATGGCTTCGAACACCAGCACGCTGAAAAGATCTGTAAGTTTTTGAAACTGTTTACCATTTCGATTTACCAACACATACTCGCAAGTGGGTGTGAAAAGGGGTCTGATGTACGTTATATATTTTCCCAATATCTCCATGCTGCATTCGTCAAAGTACACACTATCAAACCCGTATTTTTTAGCTGTCTTGAAAATTGTCTGATCAACCATTCCTTCGTTTCTCTTTGCACTTTCAAACATTCGCAAGGTCAGATGCTGGTATGTCATAGGACGGCAGCCTTTTACTTTCAGGAACATGTAAGCGGCTACGAATCGGGTGGCAAACGTGACGTCACCGGTTTTGACTGAAGAAGAACATGCCATACACTTTTCCAACACGGATTCATAACGTTCTACGTGAAATGGTATTACAGATTGAACTTCGGAAAGAGTAGCCCAACTTCTACGTGATTCGAGGGTTTCTATGTCTAATTCGGTTGTCCAATTTGATCTCATGCTCTTCCCTAAGCACTTTCGCGCTCTCTTCACATAAACCTCAGTAACGGCAAAATTTTGAAGCACTGATGCAGGGGGACGGTTAAATTTGCGAAAATCTAGTAAATCTGAAATGCTTGTGACATAGGATATTTGTCCTGATTGTCCAAGACCCCACTTTTCTTTTAGACTGTCCACGAATTTTGTCAACAGTTTTGGAGATCCCAAGGCGTAGTCGATTAAATTAGGGGAAGTTAGGACATCTTCCTCGGCGTCGCCACTCTCGTCGCAGCAAAACTTTACGAACTTTAAAGCTCTCGTGACTGAAATGTCCGATTGTTTAGGAGACTTGCCCCCGCCACAGCTGCTTTGAAGCCACTGCGAAAACGAACGAGCGAATTCATTATCTGTAGAGCAGCCAGGAACTGTTCTGGAAGCTTTTTCGTTAGTTCCATTCGCAGCAGACGGCGAAGTGTCGAAAAGGTCCATCGATACATTGGGCTTCTCGTCGAAATAGTAATACCAACCATGTTTTATTTTTACATGTTTACGACAACCTCTTTGACTTGGAAATCCTGGATGCTCGCAGCCCGTTACTGGACAATGATCTAACCCATCTCTGTCTTTGACCAAATGCAATCGTCTCTGTTTAGTAAACGCACCGTCGACTAATTTCCAATCTACTTTAGATTTTCTTCGTGCAAACATAAAAACTTGACAAAATGCTTAGCGATCAAATTACTTTGCTTTTTATAGTGAACACGACACACACGCATTAGTATGCATATGCGATGTATTAATCTTATATGTTAAATAATAGACCCAAGTGCAATATATTATTGTGTTATTTTGCGAAATAAATGGCAAAATTAAAATAGAGGAATGTTGGCTTTAAAGGGAACAATAAAACAGAACAATAAAACGGAACAACAAAAGCTAGCAATATGTGCATAACAAATTGTTCCAGTTTGCTAACCTAGTTAGAATATTAATGTTCCGCTTCGCGGAACATTTTGTTCCTAAGCAAAGGAACCATGAAAAGGAACAGATTAAGTGTTCCTAATACAAGTTGTTCCCAATCAGTTCCGCTTTGCGGAACATATTATAAACGGAACAACCAAATTGAAGTAGGAACGATTTGTTCCTTTTTAATTGCTGTTCCGTTTATAAATGGGAACACCCAACATAATTTACATGTATTCCTATTATGGGGTTTAAATATATGCAAAAACCATGGCAAAACAAATCGTTCTTGTCATGATGCAGTAGGTAACTTTAAATGCTTTTTCCTATTGAAATAACATGCTCACACCCTAGTGCTTCTGCCCAATTCAATTGTTTTGTTCCCAAAGCGCTTAATCATAGTAAATTTCTTGTTATTGTGATATTGTAAAAGGAACAATTTTTTGGGATACGCTACACCACCATTATCACCACCACCATCATCACCACCACCATCATCACCACCACCATCATCATCACCATCATCACCACTGTAGTGATGGTGAAAGTGATGATGGTAGTGATGATGGTGGTAATGATGGTGATGATGGTAGTTATGGTGATGATACACTATCATCATCGCCATCACCATAACTACCATCATCACTGCAATCACCACCATCATCCCCACTGAACTTAATCAGTTTGAAAACTGATTGGCTACGGGCTACTCCATACAAATCCTAATAAATTTCACGGGCTACCAATGTAAAGTAGCCCGTGGTTGCATTTTTTTTTCTAAGTGTAGTTTAATTAAACTATAGTAAAATTGGATAAATTGTTTTGGAAATATTCTAAGTCTTTTGTAAATGGATGTTTGGAAAACACTTAGAAAAATTTCAACCACAGGCTACCAACGCTTGGTAGCCGGTGGTTGAAATTTTTATAAGTCTTTACTTAACTTACTCTGTTGAGAAACTAACGGGCTACGGGCTACTCCATACAAATCCTAATAAATTTCACGGGCTACCCATGGGCTACCACTCGAAATCACGGGCTACCAATGGAAAGTAGCCCGTGGTTGCATAAGTGTAGTTTAAACTATAGTAAAATTGGATAAATTGTGTTGGAAAATATTCTACGCTTTACGTTTACAGTAAATATACAATTTAATAGTTTACAATCACACTAATTTCAAGGCTTCAGCCCTCTTTCGTAAAGTATTTGGAACACGACATGCATTAAAGTTAAATTCTGGATGACGCAATATCATTGACCAACGTAAACCAAATTTTTCAATGCCCAACCTAATGTAATTGTCCTCGTCAGGTGTGAAGCGAATACCTGAACGCCGTTTCGTCAATTTATGGGTCGAAGTGGTTGGAATGTCTTTGCCAACATCGTCTTGTCCATGTGATGACTGCTCTACCTTTTCGCATTCAGTTTCTAAATTCTTACTGTTGTCAACTAATTTTTGCATGCACCAAGCCCTCTCATTGCTACTTCCCGAGAACGTTTCTTTTGATAATGGACACGGGCAACGTTAGAGCTATACTTGTGGTCTTCAGATATCCATTTCTGTTCGTTTGGTAGCAGAACCTGGGAACTTTCCGTCTCGATGATTTGTCTGTACCTAGTCGGATGAATGTACTTTTCGATGGCTTCGAACACGAGCACGCTGAAAGATCTGTAAATTTTTGAAATTGTTTACCATTTCGATTTACCAACACATACTCGCAAGTGGGTGTGAGCAGAGGTCTGATATACGTTATATATTTTCCCAATGTCTCAATGCTGCATTCGTCACAAGTACACACTATCAAACCCGTACTTTTTAGCCGTCTTGAAAATTTTCTGATCAACCATCCCTTCGTTTCTCTTTGCACTTTCAAACATTCGCAAGGTTAGATGCTGGTATGTCATAGGACGACAGCCTTTTACTTTCAGGAACATGTATAAGCGGCTACGAATCGGGTGGCAAACGTGACCTCGCCAGTTTAATTTTGACAGAAGAAGGACATGCCACTTTTCCAACACAGATTCATAACGTTCCACGTGAAATGGAATTACAGATTGAACTTTGGAAAGAGTTGCCCACCTTCTACGCGATTCGAGGGTTTCTATGTCTAGTTCGGTTGTCCAATTTGATATCATTCCCTTCGCTAAGCACTTTCTTGCTCTCTTCACATAAACCTCGGTAACGGCAAAATTTTGAAGCACTGATGCAGGGGGACGGCTAAATTTTCGAAATTCCAGTAGATCTGAAATGCTGGCAACATAAGATATTTGTCCTGATTGTCCAAGACCCCACTTTTCTTTTAGACTGTCCACGAATTTTGTTAACAGTTGTGGGGATCCCAAGGCGTAGTCGGTCAAATTGGGGGCCGGTCATTATTTATGGTGGGGGGTGGCACCGAAGAGAAATGTTTTTCAAGGCAAAAATTTTGCCGACCCAACCATTAAAAGTAAAAAATTTGATTACCCAACCTCAAATATCAATTAAAAAACAAATACTCACCCCTGGCCAAAAACTTTACAAAAAGGTACCATTCAGTTGTCACACAAGTCCCTTGCCACTTCTGTGACATGAGCTTGATAACGGATTGTGAATTTTTTTGCAGACTAAAGTTTCATGTTGTCTGCACATGTACTTTCTTTAAAGACACCATTTGTCTCCCAACAAGTTGAAAAACAGTGATCAAGACAGTGACTCCGATTGATTCACATATTGTATTGACATACGACTGTTGACATTGCTTTTTAGTCTCCAATATTTCAGTGAGTCATGCTTTGGAAATTATTATTACCCAACCCTTGAGTTGTTTTGTTTTTCATTTACCCAACCTTTTACTCACTCAAAATTTTGTTTACCCAACCCTTTTCTCTTCGGTGCCACCCCCGCCATAAATAATGACCGGTCCCTTAGGAGAACTTAGAACGTCTTCTTCGGCGTCGCCACTCTCGTCGCAGCAAAACATTACGAACTTTAAAGCTCTCGTGACTGAAATGTCCGATTGTTTAGGAGACTTTCCCCCGCCACAGCTGCTTTGAAGCCACTGCGAAAACGAACGAGCGAATTCATTATCTGCAGAGCAGCCAGGAACTGTTCTCGAAGCTTTTTCGTTAGTTCCATATTCGCAGCAGACGGCGAAGTGTCGAAATGGTCGATCGTTACATTGGGCTTCTCGTCGAAATAGTAATACCAACCATGTTTTGTTTTCACATGTTTACGACAACCTCTTTGACTTGCAAATCCTGGATGCTCGCAGCCCGTTAGTGGACAATGATCTAACCCATCTCTATCTTTCACCAAATGCAATTGTCTCTGTTTAGTAAACGCACCGTTCACTGACTTCCAATCTACTTTCCAAACACAAAAACTCGACAAAATGCTTAGCGATCAAATTATTTTGGTTTTTATAGTGAACACAGCACGCATTAGCATGCATACGCGATGTATGAATCTTATACGTGAAATAAATAGCCCCAAGTACAATATATTATGTGTTAAGGTCCAGACACACCGGGCGCGATTCGACAACGCGACGCGAATTTTCAGTTTTTGAAAGTTAATAAAACGGCCAATGAGAGCACACTTTAAAAGATATGTATACCAAATAACTCAAAATGTTGTAACGCTTCTAAATATTTGGAAACTTTAAACTAGGATTAAAGTTATCGTTTAGTGAAAATCGAAAAATCGCGTCGCGTTGTCGAATCGCGAGTGGTGTGTATGGACCTTTAATTTGCGGAATAAACGGCAAATTTAAATTAGAGGAATGTTCGCTTTAAAGGAACAATAAAACAGAACAATAAAACAGAACAACAAAAGCTAACAATATGTGCATAACAAATTGTTTCAGTTTGCTAATCTATAGTCGAAGAATAATAATGTTCCGCTTCGCGGAACATTTTGTTCCTAAGCAAAGGAACCATGAAAAGGAACAGATTAAGTGTTCCTATTACAAGTTGTTCTCAATCAGTTCCGCTTTGTGGAACATATTAGAAACGGAACAACCAAATTGAAGTAGGAACAATTTGTTCCTTTTTTATCGCTGTTCCGTTTATAAATGGGAACACCCAACATAATTTCCATGTGTTCCGACTATGGGGTTTAAATATATGCAAAAACCATGGCAAAACAAATCGTTCTTGTCATGACCCAGTAGGTAACTTTAAATGCTTTTTCCTATTGAAATAACATGCTCACACCCTAGTGCTTCTGCCAAATCCAATTGTTTTGTGCTCATAGCGCTTAATGTAGCAAATTTCCTGCTCTAGTAATATTCTAAAAGGAACAATTGTTCGGGATACCATCATCACCACCATCATCACTACATCATCACCACTATCATCACTATACCATCACCACCACCATCACCATAACTACCATCATCACCACCATCATCACTACATCATCACTACTATCATCACTATACCATCACCACCACCATCACCATAACTACCATCATCACCACCATCATCACTACATCATCACTACTATCATCACTATACTATCACCACCACCATCACCATAACTACCATCATCACCACCATCATCACTACATCATCACTACTATCATCACTATACCATCACCACCACCATC